TTGTAAGCTGAAGGTCTGTTCCAATGACATCCTCTTTGTTTACAAATTTCTTGTCATCATTTAAAGTCTTTTCACAGATGGTGTCTCCCTCTAATTTAAAATATATTGCAGTCTTTATGATCTGCTAGTATTGCATTGCATTAGCATTTTCTTTTTCCTGAATTTAGTGTAGTTTTTCTTTATTAGTAGTATTTTTTCTTTCCTTTTTTTTTTAGTTTATTTCATAAAATCCTTTAAGATTGGAAAGATTTTTTTTTTAGTTAGATTTTTTTTTTTAGTTAGATTTTTTTTTTTAGTTTATTTCATAACCTCCTTTAAGATTGGAAAGAAATCCAAATTATCAAGCAGGGGAGTAAACAACTCTTGGCTACCATATTGAGCTAGTAGATTTGAATTCAGGTTTCTGACTTCTTTTCCACTGCTTCTTCCACAGATCTCAGCTGTCATCGAGTCTTTCCTGATCTCTACATTATTTTCATGCCCTTGATTAATAAGTGATTCAGATTTTTTGTTTGGGTTTTCTCGGGCACTACAGTGGTTTATTCTATTCAGTTGCCCAACATTTCAAACTGTTGTATCTTTTTATTAATGATTTTCCTAGAAATATCCCCATTTCTTTCAAACAGCCTATATGTATGATGAATGGGATCTATTTTTAAATCATTCATAAGTCATTGTATTGAAAATGTTATTTGGAGCTGCAGATTTTATTCACACTGTAAATGATATGGATCTTTAACAAGGACTCTAGTTGTATGACAGCAGTGGCCTGGCTTGGAAGAACCAGCTGCTGTTCATGGAAGTGGACAGAGACTTTTTTCCAGTGGCTCGTCTTGCTGGGGATGGGGAGATGTTTCTTGGAGTTCTTTGCTTCCTAGGCCTAGGCAACTTTAACAACTAATATCACCTTCTTAGAAAATGATGAGAAAAGGAAGCAGGGAATTTTTATAGGATAACTGAAACCAAAATAGAGAACAGAACAGGCGGAGGAGCATGACCACTGATGACCTTGCCATGACATTTTTAATTTTTAACCATAAATGCTTCTACAGAGTCTTCCTCATACAATATTTTGAGTTTCCTCTCAAGGTGTTCTTGAACGTGGTTTAAGAGCTACTGATTTTGTGTTGTCTTTGGCTGAACCATTCCTTTCCTTTAGGATCTAGAAGAATTATACTCATAGTCAAATGCCCCCTAGTCAAAACATATCTGCGTGAAATACGTGGACTCCTCCCTCTGTCTAGCTGACAAAGATATTACAAAGATATTTAGAACACTGGCCTTTAAGCTGTCGATATTTCAAGGTGTGTGATGAGTAGGTAGAGCAGTCTTACATCTTTCAGCGGTGGAACTGTCAAGAAGAGTCTGTCTTCCTTGTCCCTTACCACCCAAATGTGGACTATTTCAGAATCCATTACAGAGGAAATAAACAGCTGATTTTCAGCTAAAGATGAGCCTAGCAATCATTTGCACTATATTGATGTCAAAAGTATATCTCTGCCAACCTCTAAAATGCACCTTCAAAAACTACTGAAAATATCCAAGAACTTTAGTGATGAGCTACAAATGGACTTTGGTATTGATAAATAAAAGTCAATATGTATAGTGAAAGGACAACTTACTGTGATAAATGGGCCCACCATCAGTAAAGATCAAATTATTGACTATCCAGGGCAAGGAAAAACCTGTCTATAGCTAACTTCTACAGGTGAGAAGAATTAGCTAACAACAGCAATTCAGGAAAAGCTCAAAGAGACATGTAAAGAGAATTCATTAAAAATACATACCAAAGTAGGCAGCAACAATAACAAATACATTTGTGGCACTGGGCTAATGGTATTTCTTTGGTCATGCCTAGTTTTAGATCTTTTTCTTTTGCTTTGAATTATGTCCCTTTGGAATTCCCACATTCCCACTCAAGGAGTTCTAATTTAAAATTTACCTCCAGACTACCCTATTATAGAGAAATTCTCTGCACTACTAGAAACCCCGTTGCTCTTAAAATGTGGTCACTAATGCTCCGACTAGTTACTTTTTATCATACTTCAACTAGATCACAAGTTGTATGAGGGCACATTAAAAGTGCCTTCATTTCTTTACCCCTCACAGTCTAGCACGGAGCTCTACCCATAATAAGCACTAGATCAATATTGGTTGATTTCATCCCTGTTGAAATGATTCATTAGAGAAGACTTGGTCACACATCATGTCAGAGTTTAATGATGAAACATCACAGGAAACACCCAAAAGAGCAATTGCAAGGATTAGCCTATCAAACAAACAAACAAAAAGTAGAATGGCAGTAATTAACCTCTCCAATGTCTGCTGTTCCCAACTGGGAGAATGTAGGTATTTCTTCTACAGTAGTAGGTTTAATTGGATGCTGTAGGAACTACCTAGTAAAAACAATAAATCTTGTGCAATTTCAAATTTGGAAACTAATGTGAAACTAAGCAAAATATCTAAAGAATAACTTTCTCTACTCCCTTACCACCACGTAAGCCACACCCTCCAAATTCAGAGGTGGAAGCAAAATAGTTGCATAGTATATACTAGTGGGAGTTTAATGAAGATCATGCAACTAAAACTACACCTAACTTTCTGACTTTCTTGAGAGATTTGGAATGTCAGTTCATCCTGGGACCACTTTATGGAACTAAAAATGTTTGCAGGCATGGACTTATTTTATCAAATACCATGTCCTCTTCCTCTTAGAGGTCCTGATATAGAACAACATCGCCTAAATATTTGGTGATTGATAAATATTTGTTGGAGGAATGAACAAATGAATGAATGGAGAAAAGTTTTAAATTATGAAAGAACAATGTATTGAAAGACAAGTGCAATGCATTTGTCCAAATCAATAGAGGTGCTACCTCATTGGCTTTTAGTACTAGATTTAGCTATGTGATTTATTCCCTATTATAAATACCAATGTAAATATTTCAGAAAATTAGCAATTAAGATATATAGAGATAAAAATCATTAAAAAACAGGCCAATATAATAGTATTCTGAAACTTTGATGCATTTAACTATCCCACTTAAACATTTCATAAAAATCTATGGATTCAAAAATAATCTGTAAGTATGACTTAAACTGAAGAAAATTAAATTAAATATAGCTACATCAATAACCACTTAAGCTATATATCCTCTCCTTCCAAGTCACACTAATTCACATCACTATGTTGCAAACATGTGTCCTTAGTCTTAAGTGGGCCTAAACAAGAAACTGAGCAGATGTGTTGGGAAGATAATTGAAAGCACACATCCTCTTGGATGAGGAGGACATCTAGCATCGTACCTTTGCTTCATTCATTCGTTCATTCATTAGTTCACAAATCCATTAAGAATACTTTCTATGGGCTAGACACTGTTATATACATGGCACACAGAAATGTGTGAATGAACTAGACATGGTCCCTACTTCAGTATTTTTTCCAGAAAATTCAAATGCACAAAATGAAAAAAATTGTGTTTATTTATTTAAAATAAGAATTTTATACTTTTCCCATATCTTGTTCCCAAACAAAAGGTTTTGGAGAAGTAGTGCATTCTAACTATGCTCATACTTCCACAGAACAAAGACGTTCTAGCTATGTCGTGATAGGGTCAGTGAAACTGTCTGGAGGGAATATTTGAACCAGAATTATGTTCCTAGTCTCCTTTAAAGTGTTTCTTTGTGGTCCTTGGGTTATGATCGCCAATGCTACGTACACTCCATTAAAATAAGCAGAGGAGTGTGGCAGGTACGAACACTACTAATGCTGCTTGGATCTGGGGTGAGACACCTTTGGGTTACTTATCAAATGTGTGAGATAACACAGTCTCCAGCCTCTGCAACACTCTCTATTCTCCTAATGGAGGTGCAGACAATGGCCAGGCCAAGTCCCCTGTGCCAACAAACATATCTCATGTATGATTTATAAATATATATTTTGTTTATTGCATTTATAGCCTATAAATATATTGTGTGTTATCAAGATCTGAAGACACGATAGTAGTGTTTGCTGCAGCAACTTATGATAGATAAAATTCTATTGTAATCAGTTGTGTGTATGTGTGTGTGTGTGTGTGTGAGTGTATTTACAGCATTTGGTTTCAGTGTGATATAATTTATGTCATTGAAGTCTTGTTTTGTTTTTCCACTGGGTTTTTTTTCATGAAGACAGGGTCTACTTTTTCTGACAAATGATTCCTAGAACAAACGTAATATGGAAATGTGTTACTTACGGAGATAGTTTAGAACAAGTATTATAACTTGTGGAAGAATGTGGAAACTAGAGTCTGTTTCCACATTCTCTAACAGAATTAGTGGGTATAATGTATTTATAGGAAATTTTAGACTCCTCTGCTAGCTTTGGTTTCTGAAATAATATCTCATGATAAGTTGTCTTGAGACTTTCCATTCAAAAACACCAGCCCTTATTATCAGTTTCAGTGTATTTATTTGATATTTTTAAATTTGCTTTTTATAGGACTAATTTGTTGGTGTTTGGTACCATCGTTTTTAATTTAACGAAAGAATGAAGATGCATACATAGTGTTCATTAGCTGTGATTTGTGGGACAAAAGAAACCATTGCCACCACTGTAGAGCTGGTCTTTCTAATTGCCTAGCCTGATGTTCTCTCTGTGTCCTGTTGCCGTTAATTGACTATATTGTTTTAGATTTATGCATTAAAAATACGATTTCGACTTCGAAGAGATCACTTTGTTACTTTGTAGCTTTTAAGCTTGATGCCATGAACTTATTTTTCTTCTAAGATAAAGTCACATCTATAGATTTTTCAACTAATTACATGTCTGCCAATAAATACTTAGAGGATACATTTTATTTCAATTTATTATTTGTGTTTACATAGTGTGTCCCTGGAAATATCTGTGGAACTAAAAGGAAATATTTTAATGGTGCTTGGTACTACTTTTCATCGCTCTCCCTTTCTTTTCTCCCTCCCTCCCTCCCTCTCTTTCTCTCTCTCTCTCTGTTTTTTAATAGCTCCAGTCAGTCCGGTCAACCATGACAGCAACTCAAACTCGGCAAACTTCCAAGATGCTGAGGACATGCCTGACAGATGTGTCTTGGAAGAGTCTGAGAGTCCAGGTGAAAGCCATTTAAAAATAGTCAAGTATAAAATGATAGATTTGACACAGCTTTGGGGTCCTTGGAAGGGGCTGGGGGAAAGGACGCTGTAATGCTGTTTTCTCCTAGCAGCTGCACTGTCAAATTAATGGTCACCTCCAGGGGTCACAGTGTGGAGCTGTTATCTTTTCCTCTTTCATCAAGAATTCAGTTGCAGGAAGTACAAAGGCTTTATGACTGAGAAGGGAAGCTGACACTATTAGTTCATTATCATCAATTTTAGGCTAAACTGGTTAATAGGGGGGAAGAGATTGGAAACTAGATAAATGCCAACATTTGGAATATTTCAAATAATGGGATCTAACAGGAGCCAAGCAGAAGTGGAGGGATGGAGGCAAAAGAGAAGCAAATTGTCATCATTGCAATTCTGTCTACCTTTCCAAAAACAAACAGGATTCTAACCTGGACCAGAGGATTTTAGCATGACAGTAATGGGTATTGTCAACTGTTGAGAACAAAAGAAAAGAAAAAAACGGTAACCCTTCCTCATGCAATGAAATGTGCTCTATGTCAAAGTTACTTATTTTTATACTTTCTTTGTAGGAAAAAAATAGAAATGTACTAGAAGGATACAGCCAGAAACACTTAAGCGTGGATTTCTGTTTCTGTTTTTGTTTTGTTTTGAGGCATGCCTAGTCTTAACAACTAATTAATTAAAAGAAAAAGAAAAAAAAAAAAAACCTTGTAAAAGTGGAATGGCATTCTTGGATAACTACAAAGCTATAAGGTGCTAGAAAGTATCTTGTCATCATGAGTGAAAGAGTTAAATATCTCCCCGCACTTAATATTTTTCTTTCCCATTTTATCTGGCTACTGTGTACCCTCTACCCTCTCACATCTTTGTGTGCTGATCCATGTATCATATTTTTGATTCATCCTCTCTGTGACCTGTCAGCTTAGTTAAGAGATTTCCAAATCTTGTAGCCTTTGCTGACAAGGGGCAGCTGCAAACAGTCCCCTGATCCTTCCCCGAGGAGAGCTACTGAGATTTAATTTTCAGTGAAAGGTGCAGCCTGCAATCTCTGTCAGGTCCCCTAAGTCATCTCAGAACCCCAGTAGGCCCAGTGGCGATGGCATTGTGTATCAGTCCTCTCCACCCCTCCAAGATTCCTCGAAACGGGAACGACTGCCATGTGCCCATCTCCAGCCTCCCTTCTGCTGGAGCATCCCACGCAGCTGAGAAGTGGCATGTTTAACAATGACAGGAATTCTTAATGTGCAAATGAACTCCAGCCCCTGCCATAGTATCCAAAAAAAAAAAAAATATAGACTTAGTCTCACTCTAAAAGGGAGAGAGGGTAATGGTTAATGTTAAATTTCCATACTAAAACTTATTTGTAAATTACTTTTAATTTTGACTAATTTTGACTAATTGCCTAATTCTGACTAGGTTTTTAAAGCATCTTCATAAACAGTTTTCTATCCAGTCATCTTGTCAGGCAGTTAGATCCATGAATCAAGTTTTTACCTAAGTGCTCATTGTTTTTCATAAGAGTAGATCAGCTTTGTACCATTTCAAAAGTAGAATAAATTTCTATCATCCCTTAAATATGAGTGGAATTGTAGTGAGATCCAAATATGACATACTCTGATTGATGTAAACAAAAGGATATGTCAAAAAAGAAAGATCATTTAAAAATATAAGCGCTGATAAAGAATCTTAACTTAAAAAGTGAGTACCGTTCCGTACATTGGATATCATTATGCTGGTAATAAAGAATGAATTACTCTGGCTTTTTCCTCTGTCCATCCTGCATTTTAAGACATCTTGCCTTATAGGCCTAGAAACCTCTGGAGAGTTCACTACTGGTCTCACTGCCTTCCACTGAGAATTTGTGGCTTGGTTGTCATGGAGACATCGTATTTCTCCAAGAATTGCTCATATTGATCCGTGGCCAGGAGTAAATGGCCAAGCGAGCGTGAGGAATAAAGGGGGCTGGGCAGTCCTATAAAATGACCAGGGCCTGTGGGTTGGAAATAAGCTCATAGCAAACACTTAGCTAAAAAGAAAGAAGCAGTTTTATTTTGTTTCAGGATTTCTTTCTGCACTTTGGGCCATTGTCTTCTTTCACTATGAACTGAAAGAAACTTGTTAGTCACTTGTCATGTCAGATCTTTGGTGCTTGTCCTGACACAGCTGTCAGCCTTCCAGCTTTGCGCAGTTCAGGGACACACAACAAAGAGGCAGTGACATGAATTATTTATTGCTCCTTGTGTGGATAAAATTCTGTGATAAGAAATTAAGACACTTCTGACAGAGGTGCTTGTTTAGTAGGAAAGAAGATTTTGATGAGAGAGTATATTTCCTTGAAATATGAGCATTCAAGTAGGCAAAATTCCTAAAACTGAACAGGGAGGAAAATAAGTTGTATATTTCTTCTGTGAAATTGGTGGCACAGAGGGACGGACTCGAACTACAAAAATATGACCGTCCACTTTTTGAAGTCCAAAAATTAACTTCAAAATATCAAATCATTCAAAATGTAATGGCTCCAGAACTATAAACATTACTCTGGTGGTGGTTTAGTTAGCTCTACTCACCATGTCTGAGTGGTGTTTCTCTGGAAAATATTAACCACATTCATTAGAAGAAGAAATAAAATTTGGGATTTTTAAGTGGTGAGATTTGGGAAGATGTCTTTAACAGTAGAGTTGCTTCAGTAGCTAAGCTTTTAATTGCATTAGTATATTATTTGTTGTATGGAAAGAGAGCAGTTAAATCTGCGCATTCTTAACCATTTTTCGGCTGAATATTATCACTCACTTAAAATTCCTTTTAACATTTTTATGCACATGCAAAATTCCCCAGTTACAAAATTGAATGCGATCAGTCTTCTAACTTTAATGGATATTGACCTTACATAGTTTTTTTCTATGCGATGCTAAATGACTAATATATTTATTCCATCATTTTCAATGAATAGAACAGTTGTTTGAACAGCATATGGAAAACAAAAAAAATCATTTTTTTCATCGAAATACAGTTCAAGAATATGTCCCTTGTCACCATTAGAATTTTGAAAGAGTTCAAGGAGAGAGTTATCAACATTAGAAGGCCAAAGAATTAGTGTGATTAATATTTGAATATTATTTAATATTTTCTTGCTTGGAAAATAAAGGTGATTTGCTATCAGAAAAAAAAATAATATTGCTTCACATACTGTTCTTTTCAGATAAAGCCTCCTCTTTGCAAATCCTCTGAACATCACTTTACTTTAGCTCTTATGGTTTCGTATTGCTAATACCAACTCATTTTCATATGCAGAACACAAAAGGGACATTAAAGCACAGAAAAACTAAATTTGGAGGAAGAAAAAGTGAAGTTGATATTTTAAATGTTGGTAGAGATTTTAAAATGCCATTAATAAAATCAAATTGTTAGCATTTATGTAAAAGAGTAAGATTGACTTTGTGAATTATCTTTGAATACAGTGGGTTTGAACTCGGTATGTAGATTGTTTATTTTTACATTGACATCACCCCTTCTCAAGCTCCGGATTAACTAGGATGACCCATTTGTAAACGGGCTTCAGCCTGCATATAAGCCACAATTTATATGCCTCGTGGAGTGGTTGTTCACCTGGGCTCTAGAGTGCTTTACCTTATTCATCATGCCATTGTGATCTCTTTATTGGTTCAAGCTGTATACCCAGGTGAGTACCTGGAGTCCATTAAGGTAGGCAAAGCACCTTTAGACCAGAGCATCCCTGTTACTTTGACCCTGCTAGTGAACCTGGAGGTCTTGTCTGATAGGGGAAAGTATCTCTCGGCAGTATCTTTTCTTTGGAATAATTCATTAGCAAAGAGTTTTGACTCGCAGGTGAATCCCAGATTGAAGTTTCTGGCTTAGCCCCTGTGAAGTCTGCTTGCTCCTTCGCTGGCATTTATACGTTCCCGAAACCTATGGGAATAACTTTGATGTCTAGTAATAGAAGCACTGAGACAACATCGTGAACTTGCAGCTCCCTTTTTTGAGATTTTAGGGCCATTAGGCTTTCTTTCTTTGGTTCTTTAAGGCCTGGTTGCTTCTGAATCTGAAAGACATTATCACAAAAACACTTCAGTTGAGCCTTTTGCTGGTGAACTTCTTAACTCTTTCTCATACTGGAGTAAAGCTCGATCCCTGTTCTCTAGCATAATAAAAGAAAGGGTTTCTTGCCCTCCACCTTTATGCTCATGGTGACAGAAAATTTAATGGGACATTCACAATTTTTTTTGAAAGTGTTAATAAGAGACCTTGGGCTTTTAATCACTTCACTGGCTTGCAAAATTAAGAATTTTATTTTTTAGTGCACTAGGGACAGTGCTTAAAAGTAGCTTCAGCTGAAAGCAATAGTGACAAGAGAGTGCTTAGAAGTCTAACAAAATGCATTCACATAAGTGTTTTCATATCATTTCGAAGTAGTTTATGATCAGTATGCATTCTGCCATTAATACATCTTAGTGGTTTTCCTATAGTGTGTTATGTAGGTAGATCTAGGTACATCATTGTCAATCAATATTACATTTGCATGAATCTGAGGAGCAAAACTAGATTTCCCACGGAGTTTTCAGGGGATACTACATTGTGAAAAGCCAAGGTGGATTGTTTTTTTCTTTTACTATTCTGACTCATGAATCACCAGCAAAAATCAGGTAACAGAAAGTAGGACAGATTCAGGACTGGAGTGCTGGAGATGGCTGATGATGATGCATGAAGCAGGAAAAATGTGGAATGTGTGAGCAGCCCATCAGTCATAGCCATCCATGGTTGGTTCTAAAAAAAATGTTCTAGAAGAATTGGAGACAAGATTTCAGTAGCAAGATATAAGCATCCTTCTAGTTGTGTTTAACAATATCAACATTTTTTTAAAAAAATTTACCTAAAGGGAAAATTTAAACATCAACATAATAATTTTTAGAGGAATATAAAATTGTAGGCTAATGCACACACACACACACACACACACACACACACACACACAAACATTTAGCATACAACATTGGTTTCACTAAACCAAAGAGTCTGCTTTTTACTTTTCTGCCAGTAGGAATGAGAGTTACCATCCATGGTTATGTCATTAATAGAAATGTGTTTAAAAATAGTTAATTAAGGTAGATGCTCCAATTAGTTTGATAGTCAAATTGATTTAAATCAAGTAAAAATTTTTTTTTTAGCCTACAAAGATAATTATCCAAGTAGTCTGAGAAATAAATGCTCTTTTGATTCTATAACTTAAACATATTTCAGCAAATTTTAATAAGGTTTGACCCTAAACATACAGTTGTGGGTTTCTCTTAAGAACAAGTAAGCTGCTTGAGAATGTATGGAAATTTACTCATTTCAAACCAAATTTATCTTGTTGAAAACTTTCATCTTCCTTGGCAATTAAAAAACAATAGCCTATTAGTAATGTGTGCAATTAAAAGGTATTTACCTGGTTACAAGAATTTTTTTATTAACATATTTTATTTCAGGATAGAAAAGACATGTAGAAATTACAGGCAACACTTGTATTCCTCCCTCCTTTCCTTCCTTCCTTCGCTTCCTGCGCCAATATCACTCCTTCTCCTTCTACCATCCGTTATCATTTAATAATCATTCACATATACATCCTTTCATCTCACATATTACCTTCCACACATATTCATCATCCATTAACATATATACTATTTTTCTACCAAACAAAGGACTTCTCTTTCTTTTTTCTTGCTCTTCTTTATTTCTTTCTTGTCTCTTTCTGTTTCTTTCTCTTGTCTCATCTTCTCCTTCCTTTCTACTTCTTTTCCTCTTCTCTTCTCCTGTCCACTTTTCTATTTCATGTTCTGTGATTTCAATTAAAGTAACTAGCAGCAAAAATTGTGTTTCTTTCTAGGTGAACCGAGACATCATTTATGGCTAGCAAAGGTGTGCCCCTGCAAAGTGTGCTAAGTGGAATCTCATCCGTAAGAACTGGATTTGGACAAATTACAAAACCCTAAACTGCCATTTGTTTAGTATTATGTAAAAGCAATGGTGTTATTGGTCAAATTATCAGGCTGTAATGGATTTGCTAATCCTTTAGCCAGAGTATATTGAAAATGTAACACTGATTGAAAATACCCCAATTCACCTAATTTTAGAAAATAATTGTCTAAATAATTCTATATTCCTGCTTCTTACTTTTAAGTTAGTATTTCCAACAAGGAATGCCAGCTCACAGATACAAATTTAATACTGCTTTGGATTTTCTTCCATCTTTTTAGTCCCTGAATTATATAACAAACAACATTAAAGCCAATGTAGCATGTAATACTTTTAAATTTAATGTTACTTCAATGTGTTTAAAACTTTACCAAATTTGATTTGTTAGGTTAGGACATCTTGTTTTAGTAGATGCTTTAATTCACATCAATTACTGCTGCAGATCTCATCCCTAAGCATGAAATGTTGTCAACAAATAACCACTTCCCTTTGTCATCAATTAGCCCAATAAGTGATACACAGTACAACAGGGACCAACCTTGTTCTGTTCAGTTAATTTGGGCTTCTAATGATATTGAGGCTAATGTCTTTGGCCAAAGGTTGATCTTTTTGGCCATTTAGCTGTGAAATAGGGAAGGGGAATCCACTTACAGAATTTCGCAATTGATTCAATTTCGCAATTGATTCTTCTGAAGTATAAACTCTTGTTCTTTTCCCAGAAAGAAGCTTGACTAGCAGGAATTCTATAACTAAAATTTGCAAAACAATAAGAACAGACATAAAATGCTCATCTATTAAGGCCTTTAGTGATCTGACTTATTTTCTATGACTTATATTGTATGATTCATTGATTTATAGAAAATCATCAAAAAGGTTATTAGTGTGCATATATTATAAATACAAATATTTCCTAATCCATGAAAAATGGAAATAGATTATTAATCTTAAATATAGGATATATACCTATATCTATCTAATAGGGAAGTTCAAGTCACTGCAATTCAACAAATGTATTTTTGAGCACCAGCCTTAGGTTCTATCCTGGGATGTAGTAGGCAAGAAAGAGGAAGATTATTAGAGAATAGAAGTATAAAATTGAAATGGCACCACATCTACTCATAAGAAGCTTATAATTAATGATTCACCTGAAGAATATACCAGAATATAGACATCAAATGAATATGGCCTCTTGTAAGTAGTTTAAAGTATGTGTTCCTTGTTTCCTAAAATATAATTCCACTGCTTGAAATTGCTTTTGAGTTATACTTCAGAAACTGTAACATATTATTAATACAAATAATCTTAGAAAATTATTATCCTTTGAAAAATGATATATGTACTCCTCCATCCCCTTTTGGAAATAGCTAAAAGCCACTTGGAACAAGTGTCAAAATAAAGGAGGTTAGCAAGGCAATGCAATATATTCTCTTGCATTTGTGTATTGGCTCTTAAGGTCATTACCAGAAGGACTCTCAAAACCATTTTGAATGATGACAATATCAAATAAGTACATGTCCTCTCAAAGGGGCAATTTTAATAGTTAAAACTTGTGTGGATGCTCAAGTTATGATGTGTTTATTAAAAATAAGCGTCATTATCTTTATAGCTACATCCTATTATTCCATTTTTCAAAGTAGACTAACAATAGGTTTTAACAGTTGCCATACTTAGCATTTTTTCAGGTCTAAAGGAACTAATATAGAATCCCTAATAAATATTTTATGATGTCACCAGCTATAGGAAATTAGAACTGGCACAGCCATGACATTACTATTAATAAATGGGAGTTTTAAGAATTTTTGGTATCACATGTTAGAGTCACTAAAATTTAAAAATTCATGTTAAATGGCTAATTAAAATTTGCTTTTATCAATATGAATTCTGGAGACCAACATCATTATCAAAACTTTTAATTCCTAAAAATAAGAGTTTTAGAGATAGATGTTTAAATAATGCTATTCTAATATCCACAAGCAAGTGTGTTTATAACACAGATCCACTAGTCTGTTTAAAAGTGATTTCTTTATACTGACTCATGTTCAACATGTTTCAGTAATTTCTGTTATGAAGGTGAGTTGAAATGGCAAGTTGCCACACAGTTAATCGGATGGACCATGTGGTGACCCTAACTACTTGATACCACTACTAGAAACTCAAAACTGACTCTCTTTTGAGTAGGTGGTTGTCCTTTTATATGTCTTGTCTTAGGTAAGCAGTGGAGTGATTGTATTAGCAAACATGTTTGTATCTGATTAGGTGGTTGTCCTTATATATGTCTTGTCTTAGGTAACCAGTGGAGTGATTGTATTAGCAAACATGTTTGCGTCCAGACTCTTCCTGTTATTCTAATAAATAATTCATTTAAAAATTTATTTTTTGTTTCTTTTTTGGTAATCATCTTGGTGATATTTATGAATATACATACACACACACACACACACACATACCCCAAAGGCATATCATATTTTCAAATTTGCAGGCCTAGATTTGTTTATTTATTGTAGAGTCATGAATTGTCTATATTGTATTTTGCAGAGGAAAGAATCTGGAAACATCTAGGGTTAAGAGCAGAGGCACAGGCTTGCTGTGCAGCCCAGAGCTTCATTTCCTCATCTGTGTCAGAGAGCTTCCTCCCAGGGCTCCCCCAAGAGCATTAAAAGAGCAATCTGAACACTGCAAAAACCTTCCAATATAAGGTAAAATGGATAGTATTATAAACACACAATTAGAGTGGTGGCCTCAGGTCTCAAACAATCTGTTACTATTTTAGAAACTAGGTTAAGACTACTTTGAACATGTCAGTATTAGAAAAATGATAGAAAAACTGTTTGTAAAATATTAATAGTCTATCGTTAGATGGTAGCATTTGAGTTGATTTTTCTTTCTTTCCTTAGATATTTTCCTTTCGTGTTCTGTATCTTAAAAATCCTTTTTGTAATTATTCAAATGAACACTTTAGAAAAGATCCTGGTTCTCTTCAATCTTTAGAGGGCACATTATAATAATTGAGTTTTTAAAAATTAAGTCTCATGCCATGTGTTTAAAAATGAAGGCTCAGGTTCCATTAATTCCGATTGATTTTAAAGTCTTATTTTCGCAGAATGGACTCATTCAAGCAATTTTTTAAAAATTTTATATGGCATACATTTTGATTACTCAGTCACTTAAAAGCAGTGTTATAAACTCTTTTATTCTCAACAACATGTTGTCTTATATGCGAAGTGCCCAGAGTTGTGTTTAATTTCATAAGAAAGTCACTGCTTTGTAAACATTCGCATAATACTTTGTGTTGTTTAAGAATTTTAAAAATTAGCTGTGACCAAAAGAGTTGCAACGTTAAAACTTTCTTGAATAGCTGTCTTTCGGATGAAGTTACATGGCTTCTTATACAGTGGTCCCCGGATCACTTTGCACTGTAATTTGGCCAACAGGGACCCTACACATGGCACGTAGGAAAGTGTAAACTGGAAAAATTAAAAGGTCTCTCAGTAAAAGCATGTGACTGGAAACCCCCATCCACCATGGGGCCCCATGGAAGAAAGCATGTCTCATTTCATCTTATTAGTGGGAGCAAGGACCAAGGTGATACCTGCCCTGGCACGACTCCTTCACGCTCTTCACTCTCATCCCAACCTTCTCAGATCCTATCTTTCTCTAAAATTTTGATGTCATGAATTTCTTGCAGTGATTTGATTTTCATAAATATTGTCTTAAAATATGCTTATCTTGATTACTGAATTTTTATCACCACCTAGTCTTAGATTTAAGACTTGGATCCTGTTTATTAAATCTAAGATTAATTCACCTTTACCCCAGAAAGCACAAATGGACTGTGACAAATTGCATCATTACAAGAGTGATTATAATGATACAAATGGTAAGACTGCTGAAAATGTTTGAAATGGCTTACTCCTGGTGGTGTACCCGGGGAAATGTTGAGTATATATGGTTCTTCCTTTGACATTGTTTCTCCAAATAAATGCCTTGTTTTCACTGCACAGAGCATATTTTCCTAACATCAATTTTAGGGATCTTTTTTTTTTTTTTTTGCCTTCAACAGATTTCTGATAGGAAAAGCAATGCTGATTTTAATTCATGGATACTAGGTTTTTAACACCAAAGATGAGTAGTCCATGTTTAGTAAAACCCTGTGCCTAAATCTGCAAAGCGCCAAATGCCAGCAAAACGCCAATATTCATAACATTATGTAATGGCAGTAATTAGCTGGCACATGCTTCCAGAACCCATCATTTGTTCACTTAGCAGTCATTTTAATTGCAGTGATCTGTAAAGTCATCCACTAGTTCATAGAGAGTATACTGCAGCTGACGCCTGTCTGAAAAGGCGTTGGGTTTTGTTTTCAGTCTTCATGCCATGTAGGTGGCAGCAACACTCAAGGCTAGAAATTTCCTTTCTCATTTTCTCAGCTCTAGTCCAAAACACATTCTCACTAAAAAAAAAAGTCCTTGTGGAAGAGAAAAGATTTAAAGTGTAGAGACAGATTTTTCTATGTCCTCACCTATCTCAAAAGCGCTATTTTAAGGTTGTGTTTAAAACGATTCCCATAATGTGAAAACATTCATCATTTCCCTTTAATACAGAAGTCATAGTCTGCTCCCACACACGTTAGCAGTAGCTGCTTTCTGTTTCTTTACTTACTAGGAGCTTACTTTTTCACCTTCTCTCAGGCTAAATCCTTTCTTTGAAGGGAAAAAAAAAAAAACTGCTTTAGTCCATGACCACCTTTTTATGAGAAATAGTACAAGGCTGTCCCTTTTTTCTTCGTAAACATCTAAGAATCAGGGGATTGAGTACATGTGGAGAGATTTCCCTTAGTCTTCAAGATTAAGCTGTGTTCTCTGATTGTCCTAACTAAACGTGACTGCATTTAACTTAGTCCCTTCTGTGTGCAAAGCATGGATGAAGGCTGCATCCAAATAGTGTTCTTCTCAACACAGGACATGTGGGCTAAAGCTGAGGCCGTTGTCATTGTGTGGATATGGGTCACTGCCTTGAGAAAGCCATTTACTCTTATACTCAGGTTAAAATGAAACCAGGATGCCCACCTTTACAGAAATAAGTTTGCCCTTCCATAGTATTGGACACTGATGAGCAGCAGGCTTTTCTCCAATTCCTGGCATTTGGCTAGGACTATTACATGTTACAGCCAACGCAGACAGCCTTTCTGAAAAACATCACCAGAGTGTTCTTGTTACAGAGGGTCAATCCAACGTGTCTGAAACACCAAGAAAACATACACAATTCCAGGCCCAGTGACAAACACAGATAGCCATGAAATACCCAGGCTGTGAAGAAACCCATTGAATGGCTTTGGAAAGGTGAGAAGAAGGTTCTATGTATATTATATTTCAATCTAGTTTATATCCCTCCTCATTTCTTTTGTCTTCCCACATATGCAATCTCCCTTCCCACAACAAGTTAGTTTAATGCAAGTATTTTGAGAAATAGGCTCATGGGTTGTAGCAGGCGCTGAATGTGGAGTCAGAATACTGACATCGTGTCCCACTACTTTCACTTTCATAGTAGCTGTTTGCTATTAGAAAAGTAGTTTCATATAATATTCTGAATCTAAATTTCCTCATCTATGCACAGGAACTAATAACTCCAATTTCTCAAGCACCATATGCATATACTATTATTATTAAACGCAGTATTATATGTTCTGAAATATGTACCAAAAATGCATGGTTAGAATCTTAATTATGGCCAACCATACTGGCACTCCGGTGCTTGAGCAAGCCATGAGTAGACTGGAGAGAGCAGTGCGGCATAAACAAGCTAAATAGGTTATTTTAACCAAAGTTTCTTCTCATAAAATGTTTCGTGTTAACTGAGTAGTCCAAAAATCAAGGGCTGTTTTCAAAGCTTTTAATAATTTATTTAAAGGTCAAGGATTTCCCTCAGCGCAGAGGGTAATAATAACTAGCAAGTAGTTATTCTTCTGAGTCTTGAAAGATAATCTTCTGGGGATGTTTTATGTCAGAGTAGGACAGGCCACAGTCCATCTAAGGTGGTACAAAACGACAAGCAGCCTTCCTCTTGACGCCTGTCAGAATGCATATAATCAAATGACACGAAAAGAATGTTTGTGTATATGATGAGGGTGATGGAAGAGACCAAGACAAAACCCATAAATACTTCTAAAAAGATATCCCAAAATTAGAAAGTCAATGAGTTCCTGAAAGATTTCATGTAAAGCAAAAGAGTGTAAATCACATTCTACCTTGACACTGAGGATGGTCTGTATTCAAAATGGAAAATTCAGATTTTCCATGAGACGAAAATCTAAAAATGGATGAACTGAGCAAAAAGCATGAGTCAAAGAAGAGTTAAAGCAGAGACCTGACTCTGCTGTTGGGGACATCAAACACCGCCACCAGCAAGTGGCTGGAGAGGGAAGTTTGTCCTTATTTCTACATTAATGCATCTTGCTGAAATGTCTCATCGGAACTCTGCCTCTGCTTCTTTCCTCTTCTTCCCACCTCCCTTCGAGTGAAAATAAAAGTATTGGTTAGGAATACTAATAATAAAATGACTATGGGGATTTTCAATTAAAATGGTAAATTAAAGACACACATTCATCTCCACGCTCTGCTGAAGCCTCGTTGAAATAATATGGCAAAAGACAGAAGAAGCCCAGAAGAAAGAGAATAGGAAAAGGAATAACAACAGCCAAATTTTAGACTCTAGAAAAGCAGGTAAGTGCCATAGAGGACAATGCCAAGAAATGAGCTGGTTGATGTCGCAGAATTCCATAAAGGCTCAGAAACCACAGTTGACTGTGACCCCTGAAAGTGGGGGTACAGGTGTGGCTGGAACAGGAAAATTGAAAGAAACACTTATCAATAATTTCTGTGATTCCCCACTCATAGAAATGCAAGCAATTGCTCTTCCCTTCCCTCTAGCCCTCCCCCAGCTGACACCTGGAGGTTCCCTCTCTGGACAGGTTGAACAGGAGGGATTCTGGACTTCGGGACATGACTAGCCCAGGGCAGGGACGTCATTGGGAAGGCAAAAGAGGAGTGGAAATCTTCACATCAATGGGCGCGCCCCTACCTCAGCTTCTTCTGCCTTGCTCTAAAAATGCTGATAACTGTTCTTATTAACCCTGGTGAAGAGAGAGATGTTTTTTTTTTCTGATAAAACAACCAGCCTGAGGCCAACAAGCACATGAAAAGCACATGAAAGGACGCTCCACATCACTAATCATC